TTTCTTTTTAAAGTGTTTGCTCCCCCCACTCTGTAATGAGAGCCAGTAAATAACTGACTGGGAATAAGCTTGCATTCTGCACCAGGGACCAAGGCTCAACACACTTTAACTGACTGAAGGTGGTAACTAGCGCAAAAAATATATATAGTCCAAATAAATGCTTTAAATGGACATCATTATATGCCCAAGTCCTAGGCATACAGTAGGCACTCCATAACTATTTGAATGTAAAAGTACAAATACCTAGACATGCAATTACTACTAAAAGTACTCTCATATAATAGATTAGGAATGAAATATTCTAATTTCAGCCCTTGTCCTGATGTACCTTAGTCTGTGTCACCTGAGTCACCTTCCATATATTATAATTTATTCAGTTATCCTTTCGTTGGCTCATTCGCTCAGCATTGACTGGTCACATCTGTGTGTCCAGCAGGTGTTAGTGTTGGAGCTACAGAAGTGGACAAGACCCAGCTCTATCTTTGAGGCATGCACAGCCTGGCTTGTGGACCCTGTCTACCTCTACATCCATCTACCGCTCATTGGATGATCCTTTCACTCCTTGCGTGACTCACAAATCATTTACAAGTAACTTGTTCATCCTCAGAAACGTGTGAACTTCTCAAGGCTCCGAGGGCTGTAAAGGTTAAATTGGGAGGCTGAGTCAGGACTCTAGCCTGGCTTCCTTACCCCTGATCTGGGTCCATCTCCCTCTCTCTTTTCTTCCCTCCATTCTTTCCTCTTCTCTCCTTCATTTTTAAATTTTCTCCTTTTCTCTCCTTTAAAAAAGTATTTATCTAATAAAAGTCAAGTTTGTGTAGTATTTTCATTATCGATGGCATTTTCATTTGCTCACAAACTGTCATGTCCTCCGATCATAGGAATCTTGAACTTGCCCATTCAGAGCACGCTGGCTCACATCCAGTTGTAAATGTAGTGTCTCTGGACTAAGCATGCTGTCCATTCAGGAGCTGTGTTTCCACCTTCTTCCTCTCGCCTCCCTTCTGGGGATCTACGTTATGTGTTGTCCTTGCTTCTAATTGGTGGTCCCTGGTTTTCTTTTGTGTTGGCTTCTGCTAAGATGCTTAGTCATCAGTGGTCTCTTTCCATAGGCCTCTGGGCCTGTTCTGGGTCTCCCTGCAGTAGCTATGTTCCTGTGAACCCCGCATGGACCTCAGAACCCTCCAGGTCTTGTAGAAACACCCTGACAGGTCTCAGAGAGAGGCGCTGCTCCGCCCCCCACTCCTTTCCCGGCAGCTTCTGCTCCAAAGAAGCCCCGCTCTGAAAGCCAGTGCCGTGAGCAATGAGAAAAGTCAGAGAAATGGTCCCGTTGTCCTGCATGAAGGATGACCCCTGAGCACAGAGCAGGTGTGCTAGTTCCTAACCGATCCCCTGTGACTTAGTGACGAGGTCATTACTGCCCCTTTCCTGGACTCTCTCCATTTCCAGTGTATAAAATTCCCCTCCTTTCTTCGTCGGGAGACCGATCCTTGTCACGCTGGAGCCCCTGTCTCCTTGATTATCATATTCAATACATCCCTTGTTCTTCCCTCCCCTGCATCTGTCTAGTGAGTGGGCTTATTCGCAGCAGGCCACTGGATCACCGCTTTACATGAGCAGGTTCAGTTTGTCAGAGTGGAGCCAGAATAGCCTTATGTTTTGTGCCTTTTCCTCTATAGGTGTAATGCGCGTCAATGAAAATGCAGGTAAGCTTGCCACTTGGAGTCGAGGTGGAATAATATTTAACCAACAACATCACGCCAAAAGGAATGAATGATTGCTCTGGTCCAAGTCAGCACTCCCTCAGCGATCTGCTTCCCAGCTTCTCATCGGATCCCAGCTCTCGTCTCTGCTCCGTTTCCCTGTCCGTGTGGGTTTGTTGTGGTGAACTGCCATCCAGTAGGTTCCGACTCGGCACAACAGGATGAAACACTGTCTGTCTGGTCCCGCACCACCCTCACAGTGGTTCCTCTGCTTGAGCCTGTTGCTGCAGCCACTGGGTCAGTCCACCTCGTGGAGGGCCTGCTTTGGGTTGCTGCCCCTCCGTTTTACCAAGCATGATGTCCTGGGGGGGTTATGCCTTAAATTAAAAAAAAATCCTTTGCTATCGTTTTAGTGGAGTCTCAGAACTTAACGTTAACATTAAAAAAAATCCCCCCAAACCATATACAATGAAGATGCTGACACGTTGTGAAAGTGTAGCCAGAGTCACTGAAAAGTAAGTATAGGGGTTGTTAAATAAAAACCCAAATTGCTATGTAAAATTTCTCCAAAAACTCATATATATACACGCATATATACGTTGTTGTTAGGTGCCATGCAGTCAGTTCCAGCTCACAGTGACCTTATGTACAACAGTGTGAAACTCTGCCTGACCATCTGCGCCATCCCTCAGCACCATGGGTGTTATGTTTGTGCCCCTTGTTGCAACCACTGTGCCAATCCACCTTGTTGAGAGTCGTACTTTTTCACTGCCCTTTCTACTTTACCAAGCATCACGTCCTTTTCCAGACTGGTCTCTCCTGATGACAAGTACATGAGACGAAGTCTTGCCATCCTACCCTCTAAGGAGCCTTCCGGCTGTACTTCTTCCAAGACAGAGTTGTTGGTTCTTTTGGCAGTCCGTGGGACTCTCAATATTCTTTGCCAGCGCCATAAATCAAGTGCGCCGGTTGTTCTTCGATCTCCCTCGTTCAGTGTCCAACGTTCACACGCATATGAGGTCACTGAAAATACCATTGGCTTGCCTCAGGTGCCCCTTAGTCCTCAAAGTCACATCCTTGCTCTTCAACACTTTCCAGAAGTCTTGTGCAGCAATGAGTCGTTTGATCTCCTGACAGCGGCTTCCAAGAACATTGGATGTGGATCCAGGCGAGATGAAATCCTTGGTGTCAATCTTTTCATGATGTTGCCTCTTGGTCCACCCGTGAGGATTTTGGTCTTTACATTAAGCTGCAAACCACACTGAAGGCTGCAATCCTTGGTCTTCATCAGCAAGTGCTTCAAGCCCTCCTCCCTGTCAGCAAGCAAGGTTGTGTCATCTGCATATTTCAACACTGATGCCACATTCTTCTTCAGATAGTCCAACTATGCTGATATTCACTTAGCAGACAGATTGAATGCATATGGCGGGAGGCTACAACCCGGACACACTTCTTTCTTGATTTTAAACTATGCAGTATGGAGAGGCAGTGATTTATTAATGTGACTCTTCCAGCCCATCTCTAACTCTCACCAAGTGGCCTTTCCCTGCAGCGGTCTGGTAAGAAGGTGGGGAAGATACTGATAGGATTCACCTGTGAGTCACTGTGAACAGGATTCCCTGGAGTGGATCCTGCTGTGCATACGATGAGCCCTCTGAGAAGCAGGAGGAGGGAACTCATTACCAGAAGAGCCAGGAATGGAGCACGTCCTCTGGACCCAATGTCACTGCACAGTAAACCGCTTGGATCCGAAAGGCAGCTATATCATCAGAGGAACAGCAGTAGAACCAGGAGACAAAGCACGTAACGGAGCGATGGGCTTCCCAACCCACGGAGCCAGTAAAGCTGAGGGCTTTTGTGCAGGAGACCTGCTCACTGAGTGGGGTGCCTCCAGGCACATAATTGAGAAGATGGATTTGCTGACCCACAAATTTGGAGCTGAGTGCTTTGGGCTGAGGACCTCTGGTCACTGAAGTTAGGGTTTGCTGACCCACGGAGCTTAAGCTGAATGAATGCCTTCAGGTTGAGGCTTGTAGCAGAGTGGTATGCCCTTTGGTATTTATTAGCAGACTTTACAGCATGTCCTGATAAACTGCACAACCATAAACATTTCTCAACCCAAACTCACTGTCACTGAGTCCATGCTGACTCATAGCGACCCCCTGTGTGTTTCTGAGACTATAACAGCTTACAGGAGTAGAAACCCCAGTTTTCTCCCTCAGAAACAGCTGGTGGTTTCGACT